TAAATTGACGAAATTTCCGATGACTCAATACACGGACCGAGCCCTGTATATCGTGGATGTATCATTAATTTCTCTTAAAGTAATTTGATTTTCATCATTACATTTCTTATGGAAACAAACTATTGAAACTTATTCTTTTGTGCTATGCATCCAATTTGTTGAAGTTAAGTCAATAGGATAACATTTCTTTCACGCTGTCCTATCTCCGGAAATTGAAATAATAAGTGAATATTTATCTGGGTTTATTGAATGACCGTTGGTTGAAGCCATCTACATCCCCCGGTAGTCCAGTGCGAAGACTTGGAGACAGAGTTGAACTGACGAGTTGTTCCATCTGTCATGTTCTAGCGACATCAACAGCTGTCGTGTTGTTCTACCTCGTGTTCCATCTGTCATGTTCTAGTGACATCAACAGCTGTCGTGTTGTTCCACCTCGTGTTCCATCTGTCATGTTCTAGCGACATCAACAGCTGTCGTGTTGTTCCACCTCGTGTTCCATCTGTCGTGTTCTAGTGACATCAACACCTGTCGTGTTGTTCTACCTCGTGTTCCATCTGTCATGTTCTAGTGACATCAACACCTGTCGTGTTGTTCCACCTCGTGTTCCATCTGTCATGTTCTAGTGACATCAGCACATGTCGTGTTGTTCCGCCTCGTGTTCCATCTGTCATGTTCTTGTGACATCAACACCTGTCGTGTTGTGTCACCTCGTGTTCCATCTGTCATGTTCTAGTGACATCAACACCTGTCATGTTGTGTCACCTCGAGTTCCATCTGTCATGTTCTAGTGACATCAACACCTGTCGTGTTGTGTCACCTCGTGTTCCATCTGTCATGTTCTAGTGACATCAACACCTGTCGCGTTGTTCCACCTCGTGTTCCATCTGTCATGTTCTAGTGACATCAACACCTGTCGTGTTGCTCCACCTCGTGTTCCATCTGTCATGTTCTAGTGACATCAACACCTGTCATGTTGTTCCACCTCGTGTTCCATCTGTTATGTTCTAGTGACATCAACACCTGTCGTGTTGTGTCACCTCATGTTCCATCTGTTATGTTCTAGTGACATCAACACTTGTGTTGATATCGCTGAGTCACTGCCTCGACCGACATAATGATATGAGATCTTTGCAATTTAATTGAGTCCAAATCTCGCTCCCTCTCTGATTCTTTGCACAAATTTGCATTTTCCGATAAATTCCCTACACCGCAGTGACTCGATTTGCACAAAAATATTAATTAATTAATTCACATTAAATATTGTCAGCCAAACATCCTCCTTTCGCGTAGACAACTGATACATGGAATAGATGTGTCGGCCCTGAAGAAATAGGCCCATACATCGAATCATGTTTGAGTGTATTAACTCAATTTCAAACCTGAATGAATTTGAACACTTCTAATGTTTTTACCTTGTGCCCTGTAATGAACAAATTGAGATTGGGACAAAATTTTTCTTGATCGAACAGATGCGAGAAGCGTCCAAGGCTGAAGGAAAAAGCTGTCCAATAGAGAGTTGTATGGTCCGGAATAGATAGTTTTTTGCCTGTTGTTTGCCATGTCTTTTGTTTGTGAATTTAGGCCTTAACTTCTGATTTTTATTATTGACAACCATTTAATTTTCGAACTGAAGATAAAGCTGGACTTCAAAATTTTTTCTATAAAGATATTGTGAATTATTGCTGAATTTTATTTGCTTATAAATTTTTATTGAATTCACAATAAATTGTGTAACGTGTGATAATATCTCGTGACAAAGTTATCATCACCTATACTTTAGCCATCATTTTAGGATCTCCAACAAAGGGCAGGTCGGAGCGACCGATAAATAGTCACTTGATTGCACGTCTTGAATGCTGGAAATAATTTCCCTTAATTTACTCTATTTTACGTGTCGCGTTCAGTACGGCCAATGCGCGTGCTATTTGCACTTTTCGATTGTATAGCCTTGCGGCGCGAAGCTGTTTTGGCGATCGCAACCGTCTGCTCTTTGTTCCTGTTTGTTTCTGTTGCTTTTATTGAACTGCTCCTTAGGCTAATTTGCTTTAATTATCTCGTGTATTTTATGTTCATTTTATCGTAGTCAATAACAGTTCTCCTATTTGAAGTAAGGTCGTTTTTTTTCTCGACAGAGTACAGTACGCTTAACTTTCCCGTTGACAGCTTTCGAATTTAAGACTTGGTCAAACCATCCACGTAAGTTCCTAGAGATTTGTATTTGTTGCCACATTCACATTAAGTTTAGCCGAAAGTTGTGTGATGCTCAAATATTGGTTTATTAAATAACCGTGTAAATTTATAGTTCATCGAATTCCCAAATTTGTATTTTATTTGATCTGAAATGAATTTGTATTTCATTTGATCTGATGTGCGGAATTTTGTCCCGAAGTTTTACAGAAGATAAAGGGAACAAACGAAGAGCGAACACAATTTTCCTTTCCATTGTCCCTGCCTGGCAAGATGAGGTGGCCTTCAGAATTCTAGCCAGGATATTACGCAAAACGTTACTCATTTTCTATCAATAATTGGGGGTGTCGCGATGAAGCCGCCATTTTTCGTTTACACAAACTTTGCGCATTTAACGCATTTAAAAAAACGATACATTTAACGAGGAAGAAAAAGGTTCAAATGATGCAAACATTTATTAAATATTCATAGGAATTTAGAAAGATGGAAGAGCACTTAGAAAATATATAAACTAAGTCAGATATTATAATTCATATAAGTTATGAGTAGGAGTTGCTTACACATCCATAGGTGGCTTCCGTCAGACTATATATACAGCTTCTAGGCCGCTATATACATAGTGATGGCAGCGTGGCTCACACATTCAAACCTAAGCAAGTCTAGTAACTGATTGGCATCAAAGGTTAGTGATTAGTAACACTGATTGCTAACAGTGATAGATAACTAATGAGTAATACTGATTGGCAATACTGATTGGCAATACTGATTGGCAATACTGATTGGCAATACTGATTGGCAATACTGATTGGCAATACTGATTGGCAGTACTAATTGGTACTACTGATTGGCAATACTGATTAATTACTGATAAGTAACTGTTTGGAAATCACAATAAGCGATCATTGCTGATTGGTAACCCTTGTAGACTAAAACTAAGAATGTCGCGGCGGTGTTCCGTGTTCTAAAAGTTACCAGAATAAGAGCACATTAGGCTGACCGGTGTTTAATGGATGCTGCCATGAGTGCATTGTTATTTGTGTTCTAAAGTTAACCTTTAGTCGAAGCGACAGAGAGTTTGCGACGACAGATGTCAACTACCGAAGTGCAACCGCACCAAACCTATAGGCCTAAATCTCAGTCTGAGCCTTTTACTTAGTCTCAGTCCGTGTCCTCTAATTATTATCATACTCAAGTCTCGGCTTAGTCGCACTCTAAGTCTTGGCCTTTATCCAAGTCTAAGTCGAAGACTTGATATAATTTTGCACCTTAGTTGCACCTTAGTTGTTATGATTTGAATTTTGCACATTAGGCTTGATTTGAGTTGGTCCTATACATAAAAATGCGATCAAAATCGCACAAGGCTAGAACAGTTGAGTTGAACCGAGAAAACCGTCTACTGCGATAACGTCTTCACGTCTTCCTCTCAATACGAATCATCGCGTTTTTAAACCGCCTTTCTTTAGAGGGCTGATGTTAGGCAGACAGTCAGGCAACACTTACACTCATAAAATTTGTGATTAGAAATAATTTACAATGACCTTCATAATTAAAATGCGGACCTCAAGGATGGAGGCCAATCGAAAAGAAAATGCGTGTGTTTCCCCTTGGATGCGTGGTTGTGATCATCATTTGCACCATTCCTTTGAATAACGTCTTTATAAGACATATCTACTTTATAAGACATATCTATCTACTTTATGGGACATATCTACTTTACGGGACATATCTACTTCTTCCCTATTGTCGCCATCACAATTGATTACCAGGATTTCTTAGCATTAAATCCCGCCAAATTAGAATCATTATTTTATTTATACATATTACTTATTGTTAATAACCATTTAATATACGTACATGCATGGTCGTTCATGTATATCCATGGAAGACTCCTAAAATGTACATGTACATAAGAAAAAGTTTCTGTGTCTATAAAGATATCAATCCTCCACACTTATATAACTATGTACTCACCAGCGAGTAATTTTATTTCATTGTAATAACGCACAATAAACACAATCAAAAGAGGAAAACATCAAGCATAATAATGCGAGCAGTAAAATGAATACATCATAAAATGATTGAAGATAAGCAAGTGTGACTGCAGATAAGAACACAAGATAAGAACGGGACATCCGTCGCATCACTGATAACGCGAGGCTGGTATATATATAGCCTGCAACATGGACGGCCTGCCCCTGCAACATGGACGGCCTGCCCCTGCAACATGGATGGCCTGCCCCTGCAACATGGATGGCCTGCCCCTGCAACATGGACGGCCTGCCCCTGCAACATGGACGGCCTGCCCCTGCAACATGGACGGCCTGCTCCTGCAACATGGACGGCCTGCCCCTGCAACATGGACGGCCTGCCCCTGCAACATGGACGGCCTGCCCCTGCAACATGGACGGCCTGCCCCTGCAACATGGACGGCCTGCCCCTGCAACATGGACGGCCTGCCCCTGCAACATGGACGGCCTGCCCCTGCAACATGGACGGCCTGCCCCTGCAACATGGACNGCTGTCTCTTATACACATCTAGATGTGTATAAGAGACAGCCCTGTATTTATATGAGAAAATGTTCACATCGGAGGAACGTCCCAGCTCGAAATCGTTTCCCGTTCTTATCTCGAAACTATCACAATCGTTGCTCAAAAAGAGCTATAGGAATTCTTATAAATTTTTGTCACAACGACCCCGCCTTACAATCACTACAACGGCGTTGCCGCATTGGCTACATCGGTACAATTAAATCAGTCAGCAAAATATTCAGCGAAATTTCATTCGCTAGGAAACGATGTGGACACATCCAGGCCTACAATATGTGGAGGTTCTCGCAGGATTTGGCTTTTCTGTCGCGGTTGAGCAGCTTCCCGACCAATCCTGTCATGCGGACGGCTTTCCCGCCAGACATTCGCCCGCTGAGCTTACGCACCAACCTCGCCGCTATGGCTGACCGACTGTGGCTGCGGTGGCTGAGCTGGCTGCAACTCTTCAGTCGTATCTGCATGATAAGTATTTTGGGAATAAAATATAATAATACAAAATTGTTATTATATTGTATTATTCTTTTTAGTTTATGTATCATCGAGTTATTACATCGTATAAGGAAAAGTATTATTGAGTGTGCGGAACATCAATTTACGAAGTAAATTTCAAATTTATTAATACTGGGCCCGTTCATTTTTTTTCTATAACACCAAAATTCTGCTTTAAAATAGTTTAATTTCGATACCAAGTTTCAAGCAGTGGCAGCTAGCCGATATAAAGGCCTGACTCTAATTGTGTGTTAAGGGTCACCGCGCCCTGAATTCAAATCCGGTCGCAGCCGAAATGGCGGACCGCTTGCAAGCCAAGAAATGAAAAGTGTGCGGAGATCTCAGCAAAAAAGGCCAGACTTTCAAAAAGTCCGATGGCTTTTGAGGCAAAATCAACCAAAGCATTGACGATAAATCGGCCGCTAAGTGTACTTAGCGCACTACGTGTTTTGATAATATACTGCCCCAGACTTGTAAACGTGCGCTACCTGAAATTAAGAGGAAAATAGCTAGACCTCTACACATATACGACACCCAACAACGACAGGAAATTTATAAGCTGACATACTACTCCATTGATCAGCACACTATAACTTAAATGAAATACAGTTTTCTATGTTGCTATGTTGTTATAACGCGAGGTTTTAGGGTCCAAACTGTCTTAAACTGTCCCGCACTGTCTTAAACTGTCCTAAACTGTATTAAATTGTCTTAAAATGTCACATGCAAGCACATGTGATAGGTGTGCACCTGCATGCATGACACTGCACCAGATGCACGCACCTGCACTAGGTGTGCACTTGCACCTGCACCAGATGCACGCACCTGCACCAGATGCACGCACCTGTGCCAGGATGCCCACGAGGAGCTCGTCGACGTTGTGGTCGAGGCCGGCGCTCACTTCGATGAATTTGCAGGCGAGCTAGGTGTGCACCTGCACCTGCACGCATGACACTGCACCAGATGCACGCACCTGCACTAGGTGTGCACCTGCATGCATGACACTGCACCAGATGGACGCACCTGTGATAGGTGTGCACCTGCACCTGCATGCATGACACTGCACCAGATGCACGCACCTGTGCCAGGATGCCCACGAGGAGCTCGTCGACGTTGTGGTCGAGGCCGGCGCTCACTTCGATGAATTTGCAGGCGTAGGTGCGAGCCAGCGTGCGGCCCTCTGCGGTGTGACATGTCCTGTTATTCTTTTGCATAATTTCTTATATTCACGTTAATAATGTTGATTAATGAGACATATTATCACGGATGCTTTGCAACAAAATTCATGAAATCTGTTATTCCAGACACGAAATGTACGCCTAATTTTAAGGTCATTGCATCAATTGTTTGCTGATGAAAAGAAATTGCGAAAAAGTTAAAGGTTTTTTATTTAAGCCTAAAAATTAACTATAAAACGAAGAAAATTAACCGCATTTTACATTCTTTGTTCGGGGTTAGGTATTCAGTCCTTGAGAAATGATACGCATCGTTATTCATGTGAATGCGGAGCAAGGACAATAAAAAGATGGCTTTTTCTCCCGTGCATGAATTGACCATCCCGTAGGCACGTCAAAATTCCGAAGTTTTGAATTCATGAACTATATTAGACGTTGCGGAGACTATACAATAATAAAATTGTACTAAGTGCTAAAATTTATGAAAAATATTTAAGGCGTCGAGTACACCATACGGTCAATCAATTATCGGAAGTAATAAGTGCATAATATTATATATAAATCGTTGACACCACATAATTTAACAATTAAATTATAAACTGGTGCTATGGGTCTAATTAAGGCAAAAGAATGCCCTCATGTGTTCATAATAAAAACCGTGAATAAAGATTACATTAGGGAAAAAAGTAATTAGCCCAAGTCACCTATGTTATAGGAATCAACTGCACTAATAATGTAGATGATTCGCTGAGTGCGACTCCCTGTCACATGACTCGAACGATCAAAGGATTACTCCAGTAACTTGCAGTTTGTAAATTTAAAAATTCCAATTTAGTAGGTCAGGGAGATTTAGGATTGAAAAAGCTTGTTTTAAACTAAACTACCTCCCACTCAATTCCTTCCTATCATCTCAGGATGAGAGATATCTAAATGTTAGGAGTAAACTCCGTGGAGTTTGATTGGCACTTCAACAGTTCCTATAAATATTCAGTGGGAGTGTTCATACATATATTACATAGTTTATAATCTGCAGAATATTGAAAGAGAACCAGTGCAATATTATTTTTAATTTCCACTTGTTCCTTGTTTTACAAGCTGATTGAGCCAGCCAACAGTTGATAACTGTAGCTAACGAGTTACCTTGAATTACCAAGCTATTGACCAGGTAGTTACCTCGAATTACCAGGCCTATTGACCTTGTATTTACCTTGAGCTACCAGGCCTATTGACCAGGTCTTTACATTTAATTACCATGCCTATTGACCAGGTCTTTACATTTAATTACCATGCCTATTAACAGTTATCGCTTGAAATTAGCAACCACTTACCAGTTCTAAACTGCCGTAAGTATGGCTTCTACCAGTTACCTTCATCCCACTACCAAACTACCTGCAGTGGTCACGGCTCTGGTGCGCTCGAGGTCTGTTTTGTTGGCTACGAGGATGACAGCTCTGCAGCTCGTCTGCCCGCTGGTCCATAGCTGCTCAAGTAGACGCAAAGAAATTAAAACAAATATACTCTTAGAACCTCATTATATCAGACCGATAGTTCTGAAAATGTAAAAGAAACGCCTCGAAAAAGCTTATTGCTTCGAATAGAAAAAATATGATAAATTACCTCGTCATCAGTAATTCAAAACAAAGGAAAAATTAAAGGTTTCTAATTTTACTTGACAGAAAAGAACTCGACGTGACAAGAGAAAGCGCTGTGGATGAGTACGGGTATGTCAATTGCTTAATACTGGTAGCCGCGACGAACGATCAACCCATACCCGACTAGCAGTCGGACGTACCGGAGTTTATCAAACAAGTATAGACACCAAATATATGTATGTATATATAATGTGGACTTTTTACTATATTGAGACAAAATAAACTTTTGAGTTAATAATTTTTGAGTTTCTCGTTAAAATATTTACTACATTAATGAGGCAATCCACTGGCAGCTACATGTCAGCTGAATAAAAACTGGGGAAATTCTAAGTTATATTTAATATTTTTCACACACTTAATCTGGGGACAAACATTTTGTCCTAAAAGCAAAGGCACGTTTTTCGTCGATCCGTAAAGGAAGTTTAGCCAAATAACGAAATTGCACAGAAAGTTAAAATTCTGAATTTTCCTCATTCATTTCTGCTCCAATTTCGATTTTCATAACATTAAAATACTGGAATTCAATTATGTTCTTGTGTTAAACTTTTATGCAAGTTAGATTGATTACCAGCGAATGAACTTTATCGACGATTGATATCTTCATTTTATTAACGATATAATATGACCTTTCGATAGTTAAACTTTCATTATCAAGTTATAGAAATATTTTAATAATAAAATTTGATCGGCGCTATCACTCGAAAGAAAATAAAATGCAACACCACTCATAAATCAAAATTCTAAAATTTACCGGAAATTAATTTCAAAGTCGTCGCAAATCCGATAGTTGGGAGATTGATAACCAAACCAAGATCTTTAAGAACGAGGGCTTCAGCTATCGAATATTCATTACTCGAATAATTTGTATCTTGGTTATTAATGTTGTTATTACTTGCTATTCGATCTACTAATGCAAATGAAAAATACCGTTGGACTACATTATCTGGTCAACAAATAACAAATTAACAAATTTGATCAATTGTATGTATATGCTAATGCATACACATAATAACAGGTTCGTCTAGCATTGATCGGGAAAATTTATTTTATAAATTGGAGAATCTAATTTTTCCAAATCCCGTAATCTTGCAAGCAGTTAATTATTTTTAACTGAAGCATCGTAATCAATGAAACACTCGGATCAGCCACTCCGAGCCCGGACAAATTTGCAAGAAACTCCAATTTAGGTCCCCTATATGAAATGAAAAGAAGACTTATTATTGTTGAATAAAATTTACATTAAGATCGAATGGATAAATATAAGGACCTAACATGTTGGTGCGAGATGAGAATAAGTTATAAGCAGAGGTGGGCAGTAGTACGCTACATGCAGCGTCCGCTACATTTTCAGTAGCGGTAGCGGTAGCGGCGCTACATGTAAGCAATTGTAGTGGTAGCGCCCGCTACATTTAGAGCATGTAGCGGTAGCGGCCGCTACATTTCAAAATAGCGCTGCCCAGCTCTGGTTATGAGAGTGTTGGTGAAGGCGTGGGCGCACCTTGCCGAGCAGCGACGCGGCGACACTGAAGCTCGACCTGTCGGCGACGCTGTAGACGATCACCCAGGCGTCCACGCCGCTGTCCTGGTCAACACGGCGCCTTTAGTGACGCTGTCTTGTTGACGTTTAATTAGCAAGAAATGTGCACAAGGAATAAGGTGGACATGTTAGGAAGTGGCATCCAATCAAACGATGAAACTACAATTTAGATTTTAATAAATAAACCTATGAACGGAATGGATTAAAAGTTGATAGCTAAAATAAAATAAAAAAGTAACAACACTTTTATAGAGTTTAAAGTGACGCCAAAATTGAATTGGATGCACGACGACAGAGAGCGCATCGGAACGAGTAACGGCCTACCGAGCAACGAGTGAAATATTGTTGCGCCTACACAAAAAAATTTGCTTTATCCTAAAAAAAGGCAGACTTGAGTGTACCTGGAGCACGGTACGTGAGGCACGATACCGGGATCACTTTACCTGGGACACAGAACCAGGCTCACGGTACCTCGTTTACAGTACCGGTAAAGTTGGGTAGTTGCTGCTGTTGTTGCGCTAGCAGAGCGCGTCAGTCAGGCTGGTCTAGACGGGGCCGGATCCAACAAGCCCTTGAACGGGCCCTTGACTTATTAGATCTATGATGTGGAGGGTTGTTGAATTGCTGATGCAGTCGAAAAGGTGAGGCATATCGTCCGACAGGAGATGGCAGTGTGGGCAAATGTTGTTGATGTTGTTATCGATACGGTTTTTGTACCTGTTGAGTAGATGGAGTAGCCAGAGTAGCCGGACCTAAGTTGGGTAAGTGTTCGCTTTGTTTTGGGTGGTAAAGTGACTTCGGACGGGTCGATTTTTGGCGTGGGTGGTAGCCAGCCGTTGAGAAGTACCGAGGAGTGGTAAATCTCAACAGCGGTTCGGGCGGCGTTTGTATGTAGTGTGTTGCAGTTAGTTTTGATGAATTGGCTGTTGAAGGCGGCTGGCATGACGGGTTGAATGGTGTCGTGGTAGCGGGAGTGCAGTTTCTTTCCTTGTACGAGGTGGTTGGTTGAGGGTTGTGATGCGGTGGTAAAAGTTGTTGATGTCATAACTTTTTGCGAGGAATTATGCGGCCAGAAGATCGGTGTGGTGTTGTACTGTCAGCATTTGGCATTATGAGTGGAGGTGTGATTTAGAGGTGATATTGTGGCATCCTGTGATTGCGCGTTGAGCGGCATTTTGTACTGGTTGGGGGCGGTTGAGATTCGACTTGGATGTGACTGATGTCCAGTCTGGGCAGGCATAATCGATGATCGGGCGGCAGATTGCTTTGCAGGTTTGGAGGAGAAATTCTTTATTTTTAGCGCATTTTCTCATTTATGAAAAATGCACTATTGTGCTCGCCATGTCCGTCTGTCCGTCCGTCTGTCTGTCCGTCCGTCCGTGACTTCATGTTTTCGTCGACGAGAAAATGCGCTTTCTGTCACTCACTGCAGTGAATACTGAGTTATTTTTTTCTGTATTTGGTTCCAGAGAGGGTTTAGAGGATGTTGTTGCGTTTCGAAGCTTTGGAGGTGGTTTTTTTATGGTGGGCGGTGAAGGTGAACATCGTGTCCAAGTTTGACGCCGAGGATTTACGGGTTGTGATTGAGTGACAGCACCTTATTGTTGATTTTCACTTGTGTGTAGTGATTGTAGTGAGCGGTGTCAGGATGATGAGCGTGATTGTTGTTTTGGTAGCTGAAATTTCGAGAATGCGTTGGGTAAAGGAGGTCATCTCTGGCAGGTAGTTGTTGAGTTGTTCGTTAAGTCGTACGGTGCCGGGCCCGGTTGTATAGATGTTGAATTCGTCTGCGTAAGAGATGAATTTGATGTTCAGCGAAGGTGGTGGGGCTTTGGAAACGTAGTGGTTGAAGAGCGACATGGACAGCACGGATCCTTGTGGTACCTCAGTGTGGATGATTCGTTGTTTCGATGTTTCGTTGCGGATTTCGGTGTAGGCTGAGCGCCCATGTAGATAGTTAATGATCCAGCGGGCGATTGAACGGGGCGGTGTGGAATCGAGAAGGTCGTTGACGAATGTTCGATGGTTGGCGATATTTAAGGCTTTGCTGAGGTCCAGAATGGTAATGATAGTGCGGCGGGCAGATTTCTTTTGGTTGAGTCCATTGGTGATGTCGTTTCTCAAAATAACGAAGACCGAGGTGGTAAAGAGTGTAAGGTGTTCGTTGATGATTGCGCAAGAGGCATTTTTCGAGAACTTTGCGGCTTGACAGAGGAGAGAGATTGGTCGGATGTCATGTAGCCTGTAGGTCATGGTTCGTGCCTTGTAAGTCATGGTTCGGGCCTTGTAGGTCATGGCTCACGCGATGCAGGTTATGTTTCATGCCGTGTGTGTCAGTTATCACTCTTGTCGTGTGGGCTATGGTTCGTGCCGAGTATGTCATTGTTAGAACCGTGTAGGACGTAATTTGTGTTGTTTAAGTTGACGAAGTGTGTGTCGTCTAGGAAAATTGATCATTTTCTAGTAAATATTTTTAGTTCCAGTGAACAGATTATTATTTGATTCGACATATGTTGTTATTTAGCACATTTTGGCGATGCTCTGGAACGGGCCTGTTGTCTTGCTGCAGTGTTGCATATATATTGCATGTTGGTGATTATCCAGCTGAGCTGAGTAGTTATCTAGCAGCTTTTACAGGTCATTATTCAGCATAATTCATATTGCATACGATAATAATTACCTAGCAGTTATCAATAATTACCATCATCTTGGAAGTGTCAACAGGTATTTACGAGGTAATTACGAATACCTGACGAGTCATCGTAGGCACACATGTACTCCTGTCTCTTATACACATCTAGATGTGTATAAGAGACAGCGCCTTACAATCACTACAACGGCGTTGCCGCATTGGCTACATCGGTACAATTAAATCAGTCAGCAAAATATTCAGCGAAATTTCATTCGCTAGGAAACGATGTGGACACATCCAGGCCTACAATATGTGGAGGTTCTCGCAGGATTTGGCTTTTCTGTCGCGGTTGAGCAGCTTCCCGACCAATCCTGTCATGCGGACGGCTTTCCCGCCAGACATTCGCCCGCTGAGCTTACGCACCAANTTTCAGAAAATTTAGACTACTGGGGGTCGGAGGTGAATTACTGGCCTGGATCCACAACTTCCGACCTGATAGATTAGAAGCTGTCGTTATTGGAGGCTCAAGAGCATAGCGGGGCGAAGATGAAAAGTGGAGTATCACAAGGAAAGGTGCTCGGTAAGCCATGCAAGAGTAAGCCATCACCAAGTAAGCCGTCGCCAGAGTAAGCCATCATCAGAGTAAGCCATAACCAGAGTAAGCCATAACCAGAGTAAGCCATCATCAGAGTAAGCCATCATCAGAGTAAGCCATCATCAGAGTAATCCATCAGCAGAGTAAGCCATCATCAGAGTAAGCCATCACCAGAGTAAGCCATATCCAGAGTAAGCCATCATCAGAGTAAGCCATAACCAGAGTAAGCCATCATCAGAGTAAGCCATCACCAGAGTAAGCCATAACCAGAGTAAGCCATCAGGGCAAATGTTGTTGATGTTGTTATCGATACGGTTTTTGTACCTGTTGAGTAGATGGAGTAGCCGGAGTATCCGGACCTTAGTTGGGCAAGTGTTCGCTTTGTTTTGCGTGGTAATGTGGCTTGAGACGGGTCGATTTTTGGCGTGTGTAGTGGCCAGCCGTTGAGAAGTACCGGGGCGTGGTAAATCTCAACAGCGGTTCGGGCGGCGTTTGTATTTAGTGTGTTGCAGGAAGTTTTGATGGATTGGCTGTTGATGGCGGCTGGCATGAAGGGTTGAATAGTATCGTGGTAGCGGGAGTGCAGAGTTTCTTTCCTTGTACGAGGTGGTTGGTTGAGGGTTGTGATGCGGTGACAGGAGTTGTTGATGTCGTGGCTTTTTGCGAGGAATTGTGCGGCCAGTAGGTCGGTGTGTTGTTGTACTGTTAGCATACGGCATTCTTAGTGGAAGTGTGGTTCAGAAGTGATGTTGTGACATCCTGTGATTGCGCGTAGAGCGGCATTTTGTATTGGTTGGGGCCTTTGGGATTCGACTTGGATGTGACTGATATCCAGGCTGGGCAGCCATAATCGATGATCGGGCGGCAGATTGCTTTGCAGGTTTGGAGGAGTGTTTCTTTATCTTATCAGTATGTGGTCCCAGAGAGGGCTTTGAGGATGTTGTTGCGTTTCGAAGCTTTGGAGACGGTTTTTTTATGGTGGGTGATGAAGGTGAAAATCGTGTCCAAGTTTAACGCCGAGGATTTTCGGGTTGTGAATGAGCGACAGCACCTTATTGTTGATTTTCACTTGTGAGTAGTGAGCGTATTGAACGGAATGAAGATAATGAGCATGACTGTTGTCTTGGTAGCTGAAATTTCGAGATTGCGTTGGGTAAAGGAGGTCAGCTCTGGGAGGTAGTTGTTGAGTTGTTCGGTAAGTCATACGACGTCGGGTCCGGTTGTATAGATGGTGAAGTCGTCTGCGTATGAAGAGATGATTTTGATGTTTGGCGAAGGTGGTGGGGCTTTGGAAACGTGGTGGTTGAAGAGCGACGGGGATAGCACGGGTCCTTGTGGTATCTCAGTGTGGATGATTCTTTGTTTCGATGTTTCGTTTCGGGATTCGGTGTAGGCTGATCGCCCATGTAGATAGTTAATGATCCAGCGAGCAATTGAACGGGGTAGTGTGGAATCGAGAAGGTCGTTGACGAGTGTTCGATGGTTGACGATATTTAAGGCTTTGCTGAGGTGCAGAGCGGTAATAATAGTGCGGTGGGCAGGTTTCTTTTGGTTGAGTCCATTGGTGATGTCGTTTCTCAAGATAACGAAGGCCGAGGTGGTAGAGTGTCCGAGTCTAAAACCGTTTTGGTATCCGGCGTGTGTAAGGAGTTCGTTGATGATTGGCAGGAAGCACTTTTCGAGAACTTTGCAGTTGGACAGAGGAGAGAGATTGGTCGGATGCCATGTAGGTCATGGTTCGTGCCCTGTAGGTCATGGCTCATGCGATGCAGGTTATGTTTCGTGCCGTGTGTGTTAGTTATGGTTCGTGTCATGTGGGTTATGGTTCGCATCGTGTAGGTCATGGTACATGCGATGCAGGTTATGTTTCATGCCGTGTTAGTTGTGGCTAGTGCTGTGCAGGTAATGTTTCATGCCGTGTTAGTTATGGCTCGTGTTGTGCAGGTTATGTTTCATGCCGTGTTAGTTATGGCTAGTGCTGCGCAGGTTATGTTTCATGCCGTGTTAGTTATGGCTAGTGCTGCGCAGGTTATGATTCGTGCCGTGTAGGACGTAATTCGTGTTGTTTTAGGTCAATTCGCGAAGTGCGTGTCGTCTAGGAAAATTTATCATTTTCTATTAAAAATTTTTAGTTCTAGTGAACAGATTATTATTTGAATCGTCATATGTTGTCATATATCACATTTTGGCGATGCTCTGGAACGGACCTGCTGTCTTGCTGCAGTATTGCATATATATTGCATGTTGGTGATTATCCAGCTGAGCTGAGTAGTTATCTAGCAGCTTTTACAGGTCATTATTCAGCATCATTCATATTGAATACGATAATAATTACCTAGCAGCTATCAATAGTTACCATCATCTTGGAAGTGTCAGCAGGTATTTACGAGGTAATTACGATTACCTGACGAGTCGTCGTAGGCACACATGTACTCCGAGGTCATGAACTGCGTCACGAGCGCCGCTCTCCCGACGCCCGGGGCGCCGATCATGGCGACGTGGTGGGCGGGCGCTGCTAGGGGCGTTGTGGTGCCCCTGGGGCTTGCGGGTGTTGGGGTTAGGGAGTTGGGGGACATGGGTAATGGGGATGTGTTGTTGGGGGTTGTAGCGCTGGGGGTTCGGTTTGGAGGTGACGATGAGTCTTGGCTGGCGACAGGTAAGACGGCGTGAGGTGCGTGACAAGAAACAGCAAATTTTATTCAGAAATTCGAAAAATAATTTGCAAACCAACAGTGTAAAGTTTGGGGAGTGAACAGTAACTTACAAAAGTGCGTCATCGCCTGCAGGAGTGCGTCATCACCTGCAGGAGTGCGTCATC